CTTGTTTTTCTTAAAGAAATTTTTGTCTACTTGAGTTGATGAATCATATATAGCTGTTGTTCTCAATTCTTTTGTATTACTACCATGAGATAATTCAGTTAATGCAAAACATCCAAAAATCTATATAAAATCATAATGAAAATTACTAATAAGAATAAAAAATAACAATATTAATTTTTACTTGTTCATGTTTATCTAAATCAAGTAAATATTCATGTCGTTGTGTACCTAATTTACGTATTGTTTCACGAAATACTGTGTTATGTAATGTATATTTTCCATGACATGATGAATCATACATAGTTAAACATTGTTCAAGAATTATTTGAAAACGTGGATTTTCAAATAATTCTTCATCAGTTAATAAATTTAATTTCTTTAATTCTTTATAACGACGATAAGTTAAATGTCGATATTCTTCAATTGAAAATGGATATTGAGGTTGATGAAATATTGGATTTGAATTTAATATTGACCAAAGTTTAGTCTATATAAAATCAACTTTTAATAAATAGGACAAAAAATAAAATCAAATAATCATACACGATATGCTTGTGATGGTTCATCATCGAATATATTTCGCATTTGTTCAATCGAGAACGATGCTCGACTACGATATTCATCAAGCATATTAATTTTTTTAATTCAAATGAATAGATAAATATGAAACAATACTACTACAAATTGATAGATAAAAATCATTCCGATGATCTTATTTGAATTTTTAATAACCAATCAAATAAAATTCGATACAACTTTTCAATTTAAACGAAAATACTGTTTTTTTTTATTAATATTATAATCAAAAATCGATCGAAATTTTTCTTATCAAAGTTTATTAAAGATGTCTCTAATATTCAAATTTATGACATTGTTATAAAGCACAATTGAATATACATATTCTCAAATTATCTTTCTCTATTCTATAATTGTATTCACGGCTTGTCCGAGACAATTGACATTGCATGGAGAGTGTCACACTCTTGACACTCCTCCTTTCGGTTGAATCATCTTTGATTATATTGTGTTTAACATAAATTAAGAGTAAAAGCAATGAATTATTCAAATAGAGAATTTTTATTTGATATTCACACATATACAAAAAATGGGACGATTGCTCGCACCTTCAAAAAAATTTTCCAGCAAAAAACACCGAGTTTATGAGTGTCCCGATGAAGCTCGAAAGATAACTTTTTCCTATAATCATCGACCTTCTTTTCAAAAGCCTAGATCTACCAGTATCAGAAAGATTGGAAATTATATTATTCTTCAAAAAACAACGAAATACTGAATAAAATAAAATTCTATTCTTTGTAATCGGCTTGAGAACTCATTTTTCTGAGTTATAATTTTTGTCGGAGAAGTTAAAACGAGTTTGATACTTTTCAAAAATAAAAATAATAGAAAGAGATTATAAACAAGCAATTCCTTCGATTGATTGGTTTTTGCATCATGAAGTATAGCTATACAAGGTAGAATTAGCGTAACTATGTGTAACAAGATGACCCTGTAGTTCTCTCTCTCATCAAGTATCAAACCACATTGATTCATTTTTTCTAATCAATAGTTTCAAGTACAATTTATTAAAATATATATTCCATTTTTCGCGTACACAAAGCCAGCTGTTGCTTCCCTGGAGGAAAAAAACCAATCGATTCGCATAGACTTACATCCTATATCGTCAGGTTATTTAAAGATACCGTTAATTTACAATAGTTCTGCAGTTCTATCCGATTCTCTAAGTAAATGAGTTGATAGAAGATGATTTTTTGCTAGAGATTATATTTTTTTTCTGTTAATACATAAGCTATGACGATAAGAAATATATGTTGAAAAACAGAGATATGAATTTTCTGATGAGTAGCACTGCAAAAAATATTTTCTTAACCAAAACACTAGTCGATGTTCTTTCCAACTTTTTGTTTTTTT